TTATATCGTTAACAATATATTTTTTTTCAATAAAGATAAAGGTAAAGAACAATCATATTTTGTGAATTTAATACATGATATATCGTTCTAAAATATTTACAATAATGTATTATTTTACACAATATATTTTTCTTTCACTTTTATTACAATATTTACATTGATAGTGAAAATAAATTTACAAAAATTGTAATAGATTCATCAAATAGCCTCCACATTCCAATTCCTTCCAAGGAATACCACAGCTATATCAACTGCAAAATGATCTGGAATCCAAAGTAGATCCATCTATTTTGTAATATATTTAATTTATAAAAACAAAGAAAAGAAAGGAGTAAGAACAATATCCAATAAATATAATAACTCAAAAGAATATACAGAATTATTTATAATCAATATTAAACACATATATATATATATATAAATATATATACAGATCATATATTAAATTTTCATGATACAATAAAATTTGAATTATACTTGTAGTGACTAGTCAGGATAAATGAGCATTATCATAACATCAACCAATAAAAGGATATTTCACCTTAATCAACAATAGGATATTTCACCTTCATTTCTTTACTCATTTAAATCCCCAAGGTCAAACCTCCAGCTACAAATAATTCAAACTTTATCTTCTATGGCCATAGAGCAATATTTATTTTCATAAATACGTGAAGAAATAATAACATGAGTCAAAGAGACTTTAACAAAACTATATCATAGTTAATTATAAATATATTTATAATAAATATATTTACGTAAAAAGAATATATTAATAGTACCAATAACATAAATAAAAATGACAATCATTATAAAATAATGAAACAATATAAAATATGAACACATTAACATTTATTATGGATAAAAATAAGCATAGAATAAGCAAATAAATGAGGTTAGGGGCACCTCACTATAAAAATAACAAAAATAAATAGACATAAAAATATATCAAATTAAAGAGATAAAGTTCTCCTCCCCGTTACCTTAAAATGTAGATTTATCTCTTTCTCTCTTTTTTCACCGTTCTTGTTTCTCTAAAAAATTTCTCACCGTTGAGGTAAAACGTATGCTGCGTACTATTTATAGGCAATTTGAAATTCGGAAACGTAAGCAATTGCGTAAATTTTATACTGGGATCATTTATGAACTGATTGTTTACTGAGCCACGCAAGAATTTTGGTGATTGATACATGTGCTGACGTGGCTGGTTTACATGGCACATATGAGACTTATCTAACTTCTTGACGTGGCCTCTGGATCCTTCTCCGCTGGTTGGGCTTGCATTATGCTTATATTTATCTATTCCTAGTTTTGATTTTAGAAAAAAAATGTAAGCCCACATAAGATTCGAACCCAGCACCCAACATTTGGGGGTCCCTAAGTCCAAGGAGAGAAACCACTGAGCCATTTCATTTTATATGTCTATAATATTATGTAAATTTATAATAAGTTATTTCTCATGGACAATATTTATAATATAATTAATTAATACACACACACACACACACACACACAT